TCTATTGAATAAAATATTAAGAATATTGGTTCTATGAAAAGAATTTTGTTTAAATAATATAATAAATATTGGCCACATAAAATATTGGTTAAATCCAATGTTAGTAAATTTGGTGATTTCCATAAATATTAAAAGACTCAGGATAAGGGTATTTGATGAAGGATGTACTGTGAATAATCACAGATCTTTTACTATAACTTCCCAGAAACTTCATAACATTAAACTTTATTGCCCTTTCCATTAAATAGTCCTTTCCAACATAATCCAACATGTATTTTTATATATATAGGGGGCACAACGCATGTGCAGAGCATGCGCAGTACAGGGAACATTGCCTTGTCATGTCTGGCAGTGACAGTTAGCTTCTGACAACATCTTCAAGAAGAAACAAACAAACAAGCAAACAAACAAAACATACAACCAAATATGTTCACCATCACTATCTTTCTTTTGTTTTCTTTAATGTTATTCACAAATTTCACATGATCCAACTTCCAGTTTTAAAAGCTGTTTATTTTGTGTTTAATTAATCTTCTATATTACATTTTATGTTATCTAATATAGGCCTACAAATTTTTCTTTTTTATAAGTGTTGACTTTTCCTCACATTTCACACCTTTTACACATTCTTAAAATTATTTTGAGTAATAGGATGAACTCACTTTTCTCTATTAGCATTTTGTTTTTGTTTCACAACCAAATCTCACTCTTTAAAATAACAAGATTTTTCTGTAATGCTTCAATTATTTTGCAAAAGAACATTATAGATTTTCTTCTTCTCCTCCTTCATGATTCATAGCTGTGCATACTTCTTTCTTGGAACACGTTAGCACTATTAATTCTCCTTCGCTTGCACTTTTTGTTTGCTTCTCATGATTGGTAATAAGTTAATAATATTTTAAAAAATTGAAATTTCTTGCATTCATACTCCATAGCTCTTATTGGTAATACCTGAGCTAACACGCATGAATTGTTAGTTGTAGTTCACATTTTTAAAAGTTATTTTTTAAAAGTTTTATACTTATTTATTATTAATTTCTCTACCCAATTTCCAACGAACTAGCTTTTTGAACAAGAACAGACACTACGAAATATTGTGCGATGTTTCGTGTTGATTCAATCAAAGAACAGAAATAATTAGTTTGAGATGGAATTAATTATGTCTTGTTTTTAAAAAAACTAATGTACTACATATTCATGTACAGACATATCCAAGGGATGTGTCACTGAAGAGGGAGCTAAACTTTGGTCCACAACCACCCATTTTTTTAACAAGAACTTCCCTCAAAATAATTTTACAGAGCAAATATTTGAGTGTATAAATATTAAATGTTGTTTACCTCTGGTGTGTATTTACATTAACTTTAAATGACAATATTTGTTCTAAAAAATAATGAACTTTTTCAAGTTACTGTGAATACACTGTGGTAGCTGGTTGATTATTTCTTCAGCTATTAGGAAACAGATTAATTTTCATTATCTTTTCAATCAGTCAATGGGCAGTAGTGGACTAAGATAAATCTTGAGCCATGTTCAACAGTGTTTTCCACAAACTGTTTCTATAATAATGTTCTAATTACCAAAACATTGCTCATAGAACTGCAATTTTATTAAGATTTTCCTAATTACGTATTTTATTTATTAGGGGAGAATAAAAGTAAATGTAATTCAGAAACATCAATTAAACTTCCCATATTAGAAATTGTGTATGTGCATATGCTTGAATGACAAACATATCATATACTTGCAAAAAACAATAAATGTTCTATTTTGAATGCTAATGATTACAGTAATTTTCAAGATCTTACCTGCATAGATGATATCTTCAAGATCTGAAATATCCCTGTACTGCCAAACTCTAGATTACACAGTACTCATTTGAGTTTATTGATAAAAATGTTTTGGCATGAAAAAATGGTGGAAACAGTTTGGGAACCACTATTATTATCGTTCTTTATAGTACGTATTATGTATGTAAAGCTATTTTAACACTTTATTGTGAGTACACAACTGTATAGGGCCATGGTTTTATGGCATAGTTTTGTAGGGAATTGCCTGTGTTGTATTGTATGCTGTGCATACCAGAGGCCATGTTTTTGTGTACATGTATATTGAGGACATTGACTGTATTTGATTTATTTTGTACATGCATGTTGCAGGGAACCACTGAATTGCTAAAATGCATGCATTTTTATAAAGGCAGTGTATGTTTCTAACAATGTGTTTAAACACATCACTTGCAAAATTATGTTAATGAGAAATTGTTTCAATGTCTTTTTAACCATTAGGTTCTTTACCTGTACAATAAATCACAAAGGATTAAAATGGTTCATAATTATAACCTTCTCAATAATTGCATTGCAATAATTGAAGTTGAGAGTTTTGAATCTTCTGTTATTTTCATGTGAATTTCTGCATTTGAGAAGGAATTATTGATTTTATTTGCGAGCAGATATTAATTTTGATCTGAGATATCACATGTTCCATACGGTCTTTTTTAACTCTTGTTAAACCAATGTAACAAATGTTATTTTTGTTAGTAATTAGACATTATTAAATCATGTTACAAGACCTATATCATCACTTAAAAAGTGTTATATTTATGTATTTATAGCTTTTCAATGGGTTAAATAAAAAATGAGGCAGTACTGAACTGAAATAGCTGCAGAGAATGCACAAGACAGTCTTGGCTTTGTAAATACAGTACATGTAATTAAATAGTGCACATATTCTAAAACAGTAGTACTCAGCTCTTCTTCATTTAACTCTGCCATCCCATATAAATTATTTTACTAATAAAGTATTTTAAGGCTTTATGTGAAAGTAATGTGACTGAAGAAATACAACTATTTGGTTTCATTCACTCTGAATCTCAATCATTCTTAGTATTTGTTTCCCCCATGATATAGTCTTAGGTACATTCAATTCCATATTTCACACATTTTCCATATAATCTTTCACATTACAAGATGTGAAAGTAGATGCATTTTGTATCCACACACCATACCAGCTGGTGTGTGAGCAAGGCTTGGTGTTACAAGTGAGCAAAATTAATCTAAAGAATACAAACACTTACCAGACATAATACATGCAAATTATACACCATGTTTTGTACAAATTACTCTATCTAATGAAACAATACTATGATTAGTCTTGCACTGACAGCTGAGTCTTATATATTTAGTTCATTTTTGATCTTGTACATCACAAGAAGGCTGAGAACTTCTGAATTAGTTTGCTTTTATTGAGAGCACCTTGGTTTTCATTCTGATGGTTGATTGTCGTTCATTACTCATCACAAATAATTCACTTAAATGAGACCTGTCAATGTAACACTGAACACTGAATGCGGGATTCTATGTTTGTAAAAAACTTTTTCAAAAGACTGAAGCTGCAAGAATGCACATCACATGTTTATAAATAAAAATACCTATACTTAATAAACTGTATTTCTGGGGCTGTTCTAATGCAAAAACATATGAGATAACTTAAGAATAATTAACATCTCTGAAATAAAATAATATCTGGATGATTTACAATGAAGCCATAGGTTTGATTGAAATATATTTTTTGAACTGCATTGATTTATTGTAACCAAAATAAGGAAGTGTTTTTCCATTTTCTGTTAAATACATCCCCAGAATTACAGACTTTTATATTTGGAGGAGATAATTGAAATATGGAAAATAATGCTTTATGGATTTTACCAAAAGGAAAATATCTGAGCCTATAAATATTCAGTCAAGCAAGATTATCATAAAGATAGCAACTCACCATAAAATTTAGATACATTTCAAATAAGCGTTCCTCAGACATGTTAGCAAATCCAGTTTGCTATAACACTTATGCAAGCCAAGGATTTCTAGATTGAGAACTATAAATTCATACAAACAATCTAGCTTTAGTTGTTGGCACATACAGACTTCTTCAGGTCTCTGACAAAAAGATAATATATTTATATGTATATATATATTTATTTTGTTTGGATATATCTGTACTTTTAATGGCCTTTTCCTGCCATTATTATCAGAACTGTACACGTTTCTTAGAAGTTTTTAGAGACAAACAAATATCTTGGTAATCAATGCAAAGAGGAATGCATTCTTGGGCAAACTCTTGGCTCTTCTAGATGCTTGTCACATGGAACTTGCTAGAACTTTTTAAGTGACTGCACAAGGTTCTTCAAAAAATGTTTTCACGTATTTATGTGTTTTCACCAAGTTAAACTGGTCACTAAAAATGGCAAAGGCTCACACGGAAGCCTAGTGTCACAGTTCCTTGTGCCTTCAACCCGTTGCAGAAAATTGTATTGATTGTTTTCACTCCACCACCCTAGGAGGCATAAAAGTACTCACAGTCCATATGTGTACATTGTTAAAAAAAGAAATTGTGTGTTTATGTATGTATTCATGTCAGTGTGTTTGTATTAGTATGATTTATGAATGGTTGTGTGTGTGTGTGTGTGTGTGTGTGTGTGTGTGTGACTATGTGTGTAAGTATCTTTGATTTTTTGTTTATGTGTGTTTATGAGTGTGCATGCATTTTGTTAGTGTGTCTTTGTATTATCTGTATGAAATTTTGGATAAAGATAACTTTGTAGGAAATATTTTCAACAAATGCCTTTTGCAAGTAGAAGAGGGTGGGTTAAAACTATTGCTCAGTTTATAATAAAAAAAAATACCTGTTGGGCAGCACCATAAACATGTCTTAGGATCAATGTAATTGTCCCCTTTCGAAATAAATCAGTAAAATTGTTTGAGAATTTATGTTTACAGCACGTAAAGAAACACTTTGCCCTGAATATCAACTTGATCGTCGATTGCTCTATGAGTTTTTGTAAATCGTTTTCTTTTTCTTTAAACTACATATTTCTCAACAAGCCTTTGTTTTCTCACCAGTGATGAGATAACTCACTGTAGTAATTTGTAAGACTACCAGTTAAAATTAGACTAGTGTTTATATTTTGGAAAAATTGATCGTCCTAGGGCGAGTGCACCTTAAAGCCTGTCCTCCTCCTCCTCGTCGTCGTCCTCTTCGGCGTCGCGTCTCTCCTCCGTCTCCTCCTTGTAGCCCGGGTGCTCCGAGATGGCGTAGTAGTTGCCGTTGTAGATGACGCCCAGCTCGCGCAGCACGTCCCCGCGGATGGTGGCTTTGATCGTCCAGTTGTGGCAGTCGTCGCTCTCGCTCTCGCGGTCCAGCCGCTCCACGTCCAGGATCTTGGAGCTGAGCCGCTCCAGGATGATGCCGATGTCCTTGATGGTGAGGTGCCGCTTCTGGTCCACGGACAGCTGGTCGATGAGGAGCAGGAACTTCTCCGAGGTGATGGCCTCGTCCTCCATGACGGTGGTTTCCGTCTCCGACTCGGAGCTGTCGTGGTCGGGCGGCTGCGGCCTGCCCATGAGCGCGCCGCCGCCCTCGATGTCCAGGAAGCGCACGTGCTGGCCGCCCTTGCCGAGCGCGGCGCGCCGCGACGCGTCCGCCAGCGACGACGGCTGCGGCGACGTCTGCTGCTGCGCGTCCTGGATGGGCGACGTGGCCACCGACTTGTGCACGGCGATCTTCCGCCCCTCCTCGTGCAGCGCGCAGCAGTGGAAGTCGCACTCGGCCGTGGAGTTGGCGGCGGCCCCGTCGCCGGGGCTGCCGCTGCGGGGCAGGTGGGCGTGGTTGGCGCACTCGGGCGTGTGGATGTGGATGGTGGTGCTCTCGAACGAGCTGGTGCCTTGCTTGGTGAGTCGGTGCGGGGGGTGGTGGTGGTGGTGCGGGTGGTGGCTGGCGCCCAGCTCGTCGTGGTTTATCACAGTGATTTGAGGACTGGTGGCGTAGCGCGGGGGCCCGGCGCCGGCGCCGGGGCCGGGGCCGGGGCCCGGCGCGGACGCCGGCGCGGGCGAGGGAGACGAGCCGCCCGCCGGCGGGTACACGTCGTTGATGAGCGTTTCCTTCTTGCCGCCCGCGCCCGCGCCCGCTCCCGCCCCGTGGATGCCCAGCTTCTCCAGGCTCGTCTGGATCACCAGGGACGCGCCTTCCGCCTTCTTGCTGGGCGAGAACTTGGCCGCCGCCTCGCCCTTCTGCTGCTGTTGCTGCTGCTGCTGCTGGCGCTGGTCCCAGTGCAGGACGACCGTGACGCGTCCCTTGTTGTCCATGATCTTCCAAGACGGCGTCTCATCATGCAGCTCCAAAGCGTGGATTGTCTCGCATACGATCTTTGGGATCGCAGAGATAGCTGAAACAGGACGTTCACAGAAGGTTAACGGGTGCTTGGACTGGATCTGCGTGACATGCGTTCATCACGTTAAATGTGCATCTACAATTTATTTCCTTAAGTAATATCTTTCTGGAACACATGGAGAGAATGAAAGTTAAACTCCTAATAAAAGCGTATTAGGAATTGTGTCCTAGACAGGGCAATATCTCGTAGTGAATGTGAACAATGAACTGAGTTTTAAAAGTGCGTTGGATGATATACTGAAGATTATCTTATGAGTAGTACATTTTATACATCCATGTCATAAGCTCTTGTATGAAAACGTCTTTTTTATGAGTCTCTAAAGATAATTTTTTAGTAATTTGCAGTGAAAGAAGTCCAAGGAAAGGCTAAATTGTGTTGAGGTTTGCACTTGAGGTACTAGTTTTTCCGCCACTACTATTTATATGAGGAACGTATTAAACACAACATTGTGTGACCAACAGATTTAATTACACGCGAATAATATTTTTGTAACTGTCAATAAACAATTTCGCATTCATTTAAAAGCAAAGTAACTTTCAACGTTTATAGATGACGCTATTAATGTCTGACTAAGAAATCATTTTTACTTTTATTTCCAAAATATTATAAACAGTTATACAATGCAACTTAAATAATAACAGATGAAGACACATTGAACTACAGTAATAAGCTAAGAAAAATAAATCCTCCGTGTTTTCAATAGTCTGTTGTTGAATGATTGATTTAGTGACTCCGGGCACATCAACTAACAGGGTCTTTAGTCCCGTAAGTGTAATGCATGTTTTTGCTCGGGAGGTGGCTGCGATCATTCCCTCGCTGTACGGCGAGATACGGCGCCGATCTACCGTCTACTAGCGGGGTTTTCCACAACCAGGTTTCTCCCACCAGCGGGACACCGCCCCAGACGGGACAAGATCTAACCTCTCGACCCGGCATGTGTGCTTGTGTAATGCGTGTTATTGTGTGTGTGTGTGTGTGTGTGTGTGTGTGTGTGTTAGGGGGAGGTTAGGACAAGGAAGATGTAAGAAAGATCGTGCGCGGTCCGTGACCCGTTTGGTAAGGTATTGCTCCGGCATTCGCCTGGTGTTGATCGCAGAAACCACGGAAAACTACCGATCAGCCGGCCGCTAGAATTCTCCTGCAGACAGTGACTGAATTTGACCTAACTGACAAGCTAGTGTCGAAAATCCTGCCACCTTTGGGACTCGAACCTAGAACCTCCCGGTCAGAGGGACTGCAAATAGTCCGTGGTAAGCAAACACATTGACATAAGCAAGTATGTAAATCGTTGCGTTTTTAATTTATATGTGTATTTATTCAACTAAATTTTTATTGTATTTTATCTTTGTTAATGTAAAATTCAATGACATTGCTGTTAACTTAAGTAAATTAACTTAAGTAAATTAATGAAGTTATTTGATTCCATTGATGTAGAACGTGAACGATGTTTCCTCCTTAGGGAGATTGCAGTTGTAACGTAGAAACCGACTTCTAGAGATCAAGGAACATTATTATTATTATTATTATTATTATTATTATTATTATTATTATTATTATTATTATTATTAAAAATGTCAAGTTTACATTGAATATATTTTATAGTTTGAAGTTAAGTCGATAATCGGTATGTACAGTTCCACAGTGCTTAGATTTATTCAAGGGGCTTCTTTGCTTGGGGACCGTCCATAAATTACGTAACGGAAATTTGGAGTATTTTGAATACCTCCTTTCCCTCTAACGCGCGATTGGACTCCCCTTTCATAATCACGTATCGCTTGCGACACCCCCCTTATAAATGCATTCAAATTGGAGGTACATTTTGTGATAAGGAAGGAGTCACTGGCGAGAAACTTTTTGGTCACAGCCGTGCACACGCCGCCGTGTTGGAAGACGCACGGGCGAAAGTCTACTGCGCTAATTTAATTGTATTCTACAAGATACTATAGACCAGTTTTGAATTTTTTTCGCAATTTTACAGATTCAATACAAAATTGATGAAAAAATATTTGCAATTATTGTAACAACTTCTAATAACGTTAAATTATTTATGTTTTTAAACAACTTAATTAGATAATACTTTTATGTTTTCGTATATGACACAAAAAAGGAAGAATTTTAACAAATGGCAATATTAAAATGTACAAATATATCAATGTTTCATAAAACTCATCCCCCCTGCCTCTATGTAATGCAGCGTAACGATGCCCCAATCCCTCTCCCCCTCTTTAGCGCGGTGTTTTCCATTCAGTAATTGATAGCAATAGCAGGGGAAAAAGTCGGGTAGTACTTTGACAGAAATAAAAGCTGTACGAAAAAAAGATAACTAAGGTAACTTAGTTATCTTTCCTACATGTTCTCTGGCTCTTCCGCATTGGGAGTTCACCCAGGAATATTTTCCCTCCCAGGTGAAGAAGATGCAGAGAATATGTTTTGCAGAGTACATTTTCAGAGGGCTGTAGGAGAACTATGGGTGATATGCCTAAAGGATTTACTCTGGGCTGGGGCTCATGTAGAATGTGCGGGGTGGGGGGATTGCTTACATATGTGATTTTTATCGCGCTTGAATAGATGCCGATCAGATGATCGAGATCGCTAAGACAGTAGTGCCGCAGTGGTTTCGGACCAGAAGATCGCGGGTTCCAGGTTGGGTTCCTCGAATACAATATAAAAGTTCTGCCTAGAACATGTTTGTATTTGTATGAGTGTGTCGACCCTTCACCCCTCATTATCCTCATTTCATCTTCCATACTCCCAGGGCTAACAACCCTGGGGGATAAAAATCGGATTCAGCAAAATGCAAAATACTGTTTATGCAACAAGAAACTTGACAACTAAAGGGAACTAGTAAAGGAGTTGATGAAATCTTGTGAACATTTAGGTTGTAATATGTCTCTTAACATTCACGTCTTTCATTATCACTTCCCCCTCCGGAAACCTGAGTTCTGTACGCCCCGAACATGGCTAGCGTTTTCATCAGGATGAAGGTACAACGAAAAAAAGGTACCTAGATCAGTGGAGCTCAAGTATATTGGCAGATTGCCACTAGACTTTCAACAGGGACGTTCCTGAGAAAAAATAATAGAACAATAAGGTCTAAACATACATCTTCTTGATACTTTCAACATTTTTTATTTCTTTGGCATAAATGTTACGACTGTAAAAAAATACTTAACTCTCAGAAACATCTTTGATTGCGTTTTCGAGTTTTGGGTAAAATTTTCTATAACCAATGAAGTTCTTATGGTAAAAATACTTAATTTTGTTATATTAATAAAACTAAGAATAATAATGAAACGTTTTCTTTCTATCTTTCTTTTCACGTAAATAGAGACAATTAATGTTTTTGGTAGGCAATGACGGAGAGTTGAGATTCAAAAAAATGGAACACAAAATCAGAATTATTTATCGCTTATATGGAAGATTGCTCATCAACTCTCAATTGCAAAAATAAAGGAAAACAAAAGATAATGTTTTCATAATATAAATACATTTGTACTCTATTCATAATGATTACATATATTCAATTTCAGAAAAAATATTAACACATTCACTCAGCTAGAATATTTGAACTTCTTAAATGAATTACCACTTTCCTTAAACAAAAAACAAAGCAGTATTCCACAAGAAGTGATAGCAAACATGTTCTGAGGTTGACTGCTACGAGGAGAGAAGTATTTTGAGTAAATAAAAATTGAATCCACAACACTTATCTTACTTATTTACTTAGGTTAAACGCCAGACGTTTGAAGACCTGGCGGTGAGAGGTGACCAGTATCCCCAAGCACTTCTCTTGCTTAAGGGGAAAACATTGTTCTGTGCGCTGTACAACGCAATACCTCTTACGCCGCCCGTTATATGTTTACGGCACTGTAGTACAGTTACCTGTACAACAGCAGCCGACTCGCCTACATCCACAGCAACTCTCAGGACTAGGCCGGGCGCAGCTTAGAGTTCCGTGGAATTTGTGGACTCAGGTCTCAAAACGTCAGGCGTGAACAACACTAAGTCAATCTGTGCATTGACCGCGTCGTGAGCAACACTGCCAGAAATGTCCGCACTACTTTAATATAAATTAAATTAGAGTAATTATCATGAACATACATTAAATTTAATGTAGACATGTACATAGTAATACAAGAGTCAAAGCTTTATTATTGAATCTGGAAAGAATGAATGAATGAACTTATCGGACTAGTGATTATGAATATTTGATATGAATTGTAAGAAGCAGGGAAAATCGGAGAACTTCTAGATTAAATCTACACTGATTTTAACTTACGCTTTAAATTTAATGTACAAATATATTAGGTTCTTTTTATGTTCAAGGTTACATTGATTTTCATGTACAATTCATTAATCGACCTTAGGTTTAATGACATTTCCAACAGTGTCCATGTGCATTGAACGGTGAGCGCAGGCACGTACCAGCTCGTATGACGTCGACTCCCGAGGGGTACCAGCGCTCGCCCTGGCGCAGGAGCAGCAGCACCGTGTTGTTGGGCAGCGTTCGGAAGTATTCGCCGTCCTCCACCTGCGTGCCGTCGCTCTCCAACACCAGGCGCACGGGCTCAGTCGCGAGCACGCCCAGCTTCTCCTTGCCTGCGCAGCACGCCCCGCGCGGCAAGCCGTCAGCCGCGCCCTCGCGCCCCGACCCTCGCGCCCCGGCCCTCGCGCCCCGGCCCTCGCGCCTCGGCCCTCGCGCCCCGGCCCTCGCGCCCCGACCCTCGCGCTCCGGCCCTCGCGCCCCGGCCCTCGCGCCCCTGCCCTCGCGCCCCTGCCCTCGCGCTCCGGCCCTCGCGCCACGGGGACATCTTTTGCTACATTAAATTATATCGTAAGCATACTTTTGTTTAAGCATTACTGGATCAGGAAGTTTAAACTAGGAGAGAAAAAATTTGAACGATGAAGTCTGATGAGCTTAAAAAAAATAATAGAAGTTATTATCATTACATGATAAACATAGTATGTGAAGAAATAAATGGTCTAGGTAAGAGCCCATGCACTACACATTCAGGGTGAGAATAAAGGGAACCAATAAGAAAGTATTTCGTGTACTAAAATGCATATTTAATCTTTTATTAGGTTATAAACTCATATTATTTGTTTGTTTTATGAATTGTACCAGCATCTATTAATCTGTTGAAAGCAAAACCCTCTGAAAGGAAACATATTGAACTTACAAAATGCGAGATAAATGTATTTAAGCTGAAGGGCTGACACAATTTTCCCAAGGACTGACACACTCGCATTTTCTCCACGCATGAAGTCTTGAGAAAGCGCAGAATACGATACATCGTATACAGTGTGAATGTGGTTAAACAGAGACAGGATGAAACAATGTTACGTTCTCAACAAGTACTTCATATCTCTAGAAATTTTGCCTCATAAATTTTACTGAAATGATCTAAATCTGTATGAAATATCTGAGAACTGTCTTATATTAAATGCACTATCATGACAAATACTTTACAAAGTAAGAAATTGGTACAATCATACAGATTTCGTAGAAGCAAGTAGAAAAAGTCAAAAAACAGTTTTACTTTTTCGCACACTTCTTAATAAAGATAAATTTAATAAAGATAATAAAAATAAATGAAGGTAATAAAGATAAATTTTTGTAAAGATGCAGAGAAAATGAGCATTTTTTGACAGAAAACTCGTACTGACGTGAGACTCTGATACCGAAAGTGGACAATTCTTGCTCTTAAATGTAATAAATTACTTTCTCTATTATGCTGTGTAGACAGTACTTACGTTTTGTGGGTGCCCGATACCGAAAAATTGGTTTTCAGCGAAATGCCAGTCTGTCTGTGGACAACACCCGCGGGAAAGAAAGTTCGTAGGATATTTTCCAAAATTGATATTCCCCGATCGATCTGGCCGAACTCGAGGTTCTGTTAATTTGAAAATATTTGATTTTGGGGGATACATTACAATTATTCTCTACACTTTCAAAATTTGCTTCTTTAAATGTTTTTTATGAACGAAAGTATTTTTATATATTTATATAGACGAAAATATTCATAAAAATTGTGGAGGCTCGTTTTTCGTTAAACTCCCTGAATTTTCGGAAATTGCGAACGTTTTAAAGGTTTTCGGCATTTTACTACAATTATAATATTAAAAATAAGAATTGTTATGTATTTCATTCTTACATAGTTCAGAGAAAATATAAATATATAAAATAATAATAAAATATAAAAATATATTATTAGAGAAAAAGTGCAAGTTTTCAGCTGAATAATTCGAATTGTAGGTATCTGTTATCGAAATAGTCCTTGCTTCTTGTTCTTACACTAATACTTATTTTCTTCCTCTAGCAATTCATGTTTTTTTTGTGGGTCCTTGATATCGAAAACTTGGTTTACAATATTAACGCTTTAATTAAATTACAATTAACATTTTATATGTGGCCTATAACTTGATCATGTAACTCGGACAACGATCGCATCAATCTGGGTTTTGTCCAATAGTCTGTGATATGTAGAACAAACGCTGATATGGTATCGTGTTTTCTTTGAAAAAAAAATAGCTTTCGAAACCACTAAACGTGAAATACAGTTACATTTAAACATAAATAAAATACACTTATAGACTTATTTTGTTAAATGGTAACGGGAGATGTGGCTGCTGTGATCTAACTTTTAGCTTCCACATTTTGTACACACACTGATAGTACATTGGCATTATTACACAGGTGGTATACCTACACTGAGTCGGTGCTAGTATAATGAATACTTCTTTCATTCTCTCACTTCCTTTCTATAAAACCTATGAAACGCATGAAATAACTGCGTGACTAGTCACTTTCTTACTAGTACTTTTATTGTGCCTCATTCGGGCTAGGATTAAACATTTCTGTAATGTCGACTGAGAAACACGAGATTTATCGAACTCAAACGAACCGTACTAGCAATATGGATGAACGAAAGGGAATATTTTTGAAAAATCTATTGTTTATTTTTCAAGATATTAATTTAATACTAACTAAACTTCTGCGAATATTTCACTCTTTGTAAACCCACTGTTTTAAAAGTAAAAATAGCTTCAGTTGAATGCCGATTTCTGGCCAAAACGTGAAGTACATATTGAAGCATTGTGTGTCTGTCGTCTGACGGGCTTAGTAAAGCTTCAATTTAATTTTACACAGATTTCGAGTTTATGGTCGTTTCTGAGTGCTGCGTAGTGTGGGTTCCCAGATGAGCTAAATCCTCAGTAAATTATTCGACCTGGCCCGTACGTCTCCCTATGTGTTTCCCAGTCGAGTACAGGCGGGCGTGAACACCAAGGCAAAGCCCCTTTTCTCGACGGGAGAGAAGGGGCAGTGGGGGGCCCTCGCAGTCGCGCTTAAAATGAGGTGGACGAAGGCATGTGCAGTGTAAATAGTGTTTATACGAGTATGTGTTTGTGTTTACAAGTGTATGTGTTGCACCGTGTAAATAATGTAAACAGTATTCGACGTTAGAATTAGTTAGGATGTAAGACAAAGCAGATTTAGATTTGTTTGTAAGTATCGATTTTGTAAGCTAGGCCGTAAGTAATCAATGTAAATGGAATTTAAGAATAAATATGATGCCCATCGCATGTCACCTCGCATATTCCTCGCGTGTTCCCTCTCAGGTTCAATGCGTGTCTCCTCGCATGTTCACCACATCTTTCCTCACATGTTCATAGAAAGTACCTACATTTTCTTCCAAATGTGCCACATACGTTCTACTATGTTACCACACTTGTTTCTCCGAATATTTCCCAAATATTCTCCCGAATGTTCCCTCAAATGGTATCCTAAATTTTCTCTCAAATGTTCCATCAAATATTCTCTCAAATGATCCCCCAAATGTTCTATGAAATGTTTGTTTAAATATTCCTCATATGTTAATTGCATTTTCCCACACTTGTTAACTTGTTAAATTAAGCTGGAAAGTTAATACTTAATACGTTAACTTAATTTAAATGGTTTTATGTCGTGAAATAATTTTATAAACCTTATCACGACATATACTGCATTGACTCCTCCTGTCGGATGAAACGCAAGTTTTAAATAGCGAAGACTCTCAGAAAACCTACCAGAAATATCTCTAACATTGCAGTCTCAAAAATATTTTTTTAAATCGTTTTGAAAGTGAAAACTGCTTCACACTAAAACCAACTTTTAGCTCTTCTGGCAACCCGTGATCCGGGGCAACCCATGACGGAATTATAAAAAAGTAATAGAATGTCCAAATATGTATTCTTTTGTAGATAGGCGTAGAAAACATAACTTGTGTCCCCAACAAATACAAAACTCGTTTTAAGGCTCCAGATTGCATCATTTTCGAGTTATACAAATAAAGTGTATGGCGACGTGATGCGTTGTGCAGGTTGCACGAGCGCCTGGATTCCAATCACTATCCACAATTTCAGTAAAGCTCTTGAGTGTGCGGATGTGCAGATGTGTGTTGTTGCCATTCCGTCACTGGCGTCTAGACCACTTGCCGTGCACCAATCGAGACGTACGAGATGTCATTCGTCGCGTCTCGGTCTCCTGGTGAAGAACTGATAATTGGTTTTCGCATCCCGTTAGAAGATTTAAAGAAATTCCCCCAAACGTATTTTTTCGTGTTTGGGTGCAGCGATTTTAGTGATAATGCCAGAAATTAAAACAACGACATCTAAATCGATCTATGTAGGTGGCGTTGATTAAATACCAGAACCCAAAGGCATCTTTTGCTTAAAAAGCCATAATTTTCTTTCAGGACCTTGGCAACACTGATGTTGACCTCTTTAAGTGAAGAATCCAATTACCAAGTAAATCCCTCTGCAGTTTGATTTTAATTTAGAGTCGAACTATTATCGTATTTTAAAAAATAAATCTGCAAATACTTACGAACAGTATTGTCCCGGAACTTATTAAACTTGAATTTCAATATGGAGAATATGGAGAAAACAAAACTGTGAGTAATTCTAAAGAATGAACGAACGTTATGTTCAACTTCGCACTTTTTCGTTCTTACATAAGTGTGCAAATATTGTTTTCAAATGAATGTGACACACAACTTATTCTTTTTCAAATTTAGAACTAAATTTACTCAATGTGAAATTAGAATTAAACATGTTTCCTAAAATATACTTGAAATGGTGTATTTACACAAAGATCTCTTCGTGTATTTTGTAGTGGAATACAGTATATTATGCTATCAAACTTAATTTTAAAACGATGCAAGAATCTATCCAACTTAATTTTAATCGATGAAAGGTTCTCTTTGCATCGATAACAAACAACGAGCATGAATTATATTTCTATCTTGTTGATTGCTACTCACAAAATAAAACTACAAAGACAAACTACGATTGTTCTGTAGTTTTACTTGGCTAGCAATAATTGATGTTTAATTTTGCTACCTTGTAGGTACCAAAACTGGCCTCCTTCCAAATACATACGTATATTTATAAAATTCCGTTCTGAGAAATTTCAGCGAATTGTCAGCGGAGAACAAAGGCCGGTAAGGGCTATAGTTGTTCAGTGGACACGTCTAACTAGGGAGAGTTGTTTTCCCAGTTAGGCATTTCGATGTGAAAATACTCATAACTTCATTTTTACTCTATCGCCCTTACTTTGCAAAAAAAGTTATGTAATTGTGCGCTGGAAGAAGGGAAGTTTTCGGCAGAAAAACTCTTGTTGTCGGGCCCTGGTAACGAAAAAAGTGGATAAATACTGTTCTTATATATAGTAGATAACTTCCTCTAATACATGGTGTAACCAGAATCAATGTTTTGTGGGTCATTGATACCGAAAAATAGATTGTCCGTCTGTCTGTTAACATAGCTAGCGGCTAA